AAAGCATGTTTCTCCAACCCCCACAACACACACACACACACGCACACACACACACTGACCGAGATTCAAAGGGCAAGTGGTGCTTCATTAGCCATATCCCCATTTACTGTAGATCCCCCCCTGAGCCTCAGAGAGCGGATTATATTACTTCCGTGCAATTCTGCAACACCTACAGTATCTTCCCTTGGCTCGCGAATATTTTAATAGTAATCAAAATGACGGTCTGAGTTTGCAACGTAAACTTCTTAAATCTGGAGAACTGTGATGATTGTCGGTTGTTTTTGAGCTGTAGTCGAAACGGGTTTTACCATCACACAAATGTCAAAGTGTCACTTGTCCCCAAAGTTGCTATGAACACACCAGGAAAGTGGGACTAAGGGGACTGAATGTTATCTACCATTAACAGGCGCGGGTTTAATCTTCCTAAACCACTTAAAACGACTAATTAGACACACTTTTAATGTCCAAAAATTGTGTATAATTGTTGCCTAAATCTCATTTAGCAGGGTTTTTATACTGAATAGACATTTATGTCCTTTGAATAAAGTATTCTTCTCTGATACAAACTGTCACCAGGTCAGTAAACTGATTTCTCTTTAAAGACCTAAATTAACGGACTGCTATGCTCTGATGACCGTCCTAAACAAAAAGTAGAGCACTGGACAAAGAGAACAGCATCCAGCTCGAGGACCAATGAGGGGTTTCTTTCACTTTTCAATCACCCTTAGTGGTGCCCGGGATTAAGAGAGGGCTCTTGACTCTCTCTTTCACACAAAACCAAGAATGCTTGTCAGCAACTTGAAGGGAAAGGGGAGAATAATACGTGAGTCCAGGGTTATCGTGTTTAATTGGATTAGATGGTGTCACGTTGAAGTCTGGAACATGACAAACACGAAATAGACGGCGAGACGACTAGGATAAACACATCCTTATCTAACTAAATGTTTAATTAAGCAAATGGCTTATTAAATATAGACGTTTTTAGATTGAAAAATGCTTAGATTTCTCGCATTCATACAAATGGGGCCACGTCTCATTCACGTGTTGGGGTCCTTCCATGAAAAGAAGTTAAACATGCTGAAGCTGAGAACTGTGGCACTGATTTATAACATCAGGGTTGTGTTGTTGATTGTGTGCTGCGCTCATTTGTGCGTCAAGCAGCGGCAGCAATAACAAGGTGCGCGCAGCTGCGTATGCAGGTGCGCAACTTCCACTTACTTAACGCCACAGAGAGAAAGAGAGAGAGAGAGAGAGAGAGAGAGAGATGCTCGGTTTCCGATTGCGCAGTAAAACGAGAAATTAGTCATATCGGTCTGTCATTCGGTTTCATCAACTTTTAAGTGTTAAAAGAAAGTTGAGACGACTTTAATGAAGGAAATAAATTTCAGGTCAACTGCAGATGCAAGTTGTTCAAATTTAACAAGAACAAGGTGAATTTACCACTTGGTTTTAAACTTTGAGTTATGAAGCCTTAAGTTGACACATCCTCTTAGAAGTTCTGAATGCCCCAGTAAAAACTCCTGGTATGCTGCATCATTTTGGATCAAACCATCAACTGCAAATCAAAACATGTCAAAGCAGAGGACGCTCAGATATTGATGGCGCCCAGGTAAACATGGTGGACAAAGAGACAGGTCACACATCCACATCAGATATTTAGTTACACGGTTTCTCTGTCGAATATTGTAAAAAAAAATGCATCCAAAATTTTTTTAACAAATCTAATTAGCTGCTAGAGGCAGGTGTGAGACCTGGTCTCTGGACACAGACCTGTTCGTTTTATGAGGTGCTGTTACATTTTTAGCCTCGTCTGCGTCGGTCGTGTACACTTTCTATTGGTCCGTCTCCTCTGGTGCGTTCAGGGACAACAAACAAACAAGATTAGAGCATGAAGGCGTGGTTCCATAATGTCATTAAAGTTTGGATGTTATCGAAAGCCTGCGCTCATGACGACACGATTGTGCAAAGCTAAAATCACCTTTAGACCTGCCATTCATTCCAGTGACGTTGTGAATAAGAAAAAAATAATAATCTATACATGTTGACAATACATGATTATGGTTTGTCCACACCTCAACATGCATCTGCTGTAATCCACGAGAATAACATTGGCCAGAAATAAAATATTAGCTGTGAAGTTGATGTATGAAGGAAACTTAGTGGAACATTCAAGAAAAAAAAAAAAAAAAAAACGACAGGGCTGCAGAGACTTTTTTGTCGCTCTGTAACGAGACTCATTACCATGCCACCGCCCCCTCCTCCTCTTCCTCCTCCTCCCCCCCGACACCCTTCCTCACTCCTGGCAACAGCAGACAAAGCGGGTTTTAGTGGTCTCCGCCGGGGCCGGACAGCCTTTGATCTGGGCCCGTTAAGGAGACGGGAGTCTGGGGGGGAAGTCGGGCCAAGAGGAGGCTGTGGAGGAAGGTGAAGTGCCCACAATATTTCCCCTATATCTTTTTTTAAAGCTAATTCTCTTGACTGGAATGTGTCAATTCTGATTTTGTAAAAAAAAGGTGGCAACGCCTCTGAGGGTAAAACGCCAACAGCCGGGACATGTGTGTCATTAACTACATGGTTTTTCTTTAGGCTACCAACTGCAGTTCATATTAACCTGCCAGGTAAACACACCGAGACAGACTGAACGTTAAGGGAAACGGACCTCCAAGAGCTAAAGCCTGCAAGGAGCACACGGGCCTTAAGCTATAGAGGCCTGAACAACTGGGGTACACCAGTTAAAATGAATGGATGCACTGCAGGCCCATCACAGGCCTACAGCAGATGGGCTGCAGCTACTGCACTGCAATATGTACATCTGTTTGGTGTTCTGAACGAAATGTGACCTGCAGGGACAGACAAAAAAATATTTAGCTGTACATCGTGACCATAGACGTACTGAGCGTGCGTTTAGACCCACTGCATCAAAAAGAGATATTTGAAGACAGAAAGTTGGGGCTTAACATCTCTGATCCTGTCTCCTGCCACGTCGCTCCCTCATTTATGACGCCCTTAGCTGATGGGGACAGTCAGACAAAGGGTCTTCTCAAATGAACTTAGAAATGGTCCACATGTAGCAGATCACTCACGCAGCACAGCCAGGCCGCGGACGCGCCCGGGGACACAAAAGGGTTTGCGTTAAAAACGACTGTGTGATCATATCAGACAAATTCCTCTCCTGCCTTGGCCGTCAGACTAAAGTGGGCGACGATACTGAAAAATAAAGCAGTGTGTCATTTCAGTATGCAACATAAAATAAAACAAAATAAGATCAAGGTAGATTTCTGTTACCAGATCATTCTTTTAAATTAATCCACCGATCATTCAAAAATAAAACAATTTTACTCGATTTCAAAAGTGTAATCAGTCTTTTTTTTATATTTTATATTCTTGTTTAAATCCTACAATAGACTGCTTATCCCAGAAGAAACTAAAACATGTTTCTTTTAAATGTAGTTGGTTTTTTTCGAAAGTAATAATTGATAATGGAAAAAACCAAAACATTTTGTTGGCTGTGATGTGCTGAAAACTAAGGAGTGACTGTAGAAGAAGATGGCTTCTTGCAGCCAATCTGAAAATGTTCCAATTTATTTAACCAGTATTCCTAAATACTGAAACAGAGTTAATTGGCTTAAGCTAAATGTTTTATGTTGATCAGCTCTGCACACGTTGTATTTTAAGCCATCTTTACTAATAGCTTTACACTTCTCAAACTGTGCTGCAGCTACAATAACGAGGTGTTTTATTGTTTCAGAATAATCTTATTCTGCAATTAGTTTGTTATATATTGTCATTAGAAGTCTATTAAAACATCAAGTCATTATTTGGGCATCCCCGGGCGGGGAATTAGAATAAAACCATCTTTGCCACACGGGTCCCATTTAGATTAATGGAAAAATATGTAAAACATTTCGTTTTAATTTTCCTCTGACAGTGTTTTGCATACATGCATTTTCTCCGCCTGTGCTGTCATAATTTATGAAAGCAATCTCGACCAACACATTACCGAGCTATGAGATACTGCTCCCAGCCTAATTGATTCCCGTCACAATTTTGTGAGGTTATAATCGTGTTAATTGTAATTTACTCTCTCGGGGAATACCGGAGAGATGTATTTAAATAAAACCGCCGAGCGGACTGAGAAGATAATATCACCTCCACGCATAATAGAAATGTCATGTAGAATTACACAGCGGAGGCAGACAGGTATGCACTTCTGTCTACAGAGATGCCAGTCAAATCTGATAAGTTCTTTAAAAAAATCCCAAATGTTATTGAATTGCAAAGTCAAAGGAAAGTGAACAAAACGAGCTCACTAAAGACCAAATTTCACCTTTAAGCAGAAAGAGAGGAGGCGTGAATAGGAGTGGAAATATCAAACATGAGCAGGATTATTGGCTGGAATAAAAACAATAATAATACACGTGTGGCACTGAAACACTCAGAGAATGTTAAACTAGCCAAATGATTTCCTAAGCATCCTCAGAAGAGTTACCCTTTCTGCTGTGTCTCTGCGTGGTGCCCTGTGCTGCTTCCTCTGCTTTGAGATCTTCCTTCCCCTCTCTGGGGACACCTGTTGGTGCAGAGCAGCTTAGAAGAGACAAGGGGTCCCATCAGACTGGACTCCTCCAGCACTAAAGTCATCTGTTGAACGCCGAGCGCTGGATATTCACAACCACAGCAGTGGTTACTTTGTTCCATCTCAACAAGGACTGTCAGAGTTGTTTCATTAAGCACTGAACCTTAAAAACTGAAATTACTTCCTAAATGTTGCAGCCAATTCAGGCTATTTTTTTTGAATGTACAGAAGGAGGCAACATTTAATATCAAACTATAGGGTGAAACTGTCAACCCATTAGAAACAGCTCTAATTAAATTAAATTTATGATCAGGTAAAACACAAACCTGACAGTATTTATTCATACAAGATTAAAGTGCACATCTTTCATTTCAGTTTGGCTCATAAAAGGATTTAGCTGCAACATGACAAATGAATGAAAGCTTACGTATTTTAAAGTTTAATCAAAATCCTCATAGCTTCCTTTAATGGCAAAACAATCAAATGACAGGGTATACGATGTTAAAGCAATCTGTGTGTATTTCTCACAATCTACAAATTCTGAAAGTGGAAAGTAGAAGAAATATTTTTAAGTCATCCTTGTTCAAGATACAGCTCGGCCACTTCTGCAGACCTGCAGAGCCTCACAAAATGGCTGTACTCAAATCATGTCTGTGGATTCATTTAATGAAAGTCATACATAATAGCAGTTTTGTCCACCAACCTAGGGGTATAATGATAGTAAGTAGTTTGGGGGAAAACAAACAAACAAGCTGAATTTGAATTCATGACAGAAAAAGTGAGCCAGGGGTGAGGGAAATATGTGGCCAAATGCCAAAGAGACAGCTTACTGTTTGGGTCTTTGGCTGGGCGCAGGAGTGGTTTCGATCTTTTTGTCTGGCCTGGCCTGGCAGAGACCACAGTCCTGCCCCAGACACAATAGATCATACAGTAGGAGAAAGAGAGGGAGAGAAAGAAGGAGAGAAAAAGAGAGAGAGGACGAGGAGGGGTAGGGGAGGTATGGTGCCTTTCATTACCATGGTCACCAATGGCACTATTAACCATTCAACACCCCCCCAATTATCCTCCCATCCACAGTCAGAGAGACAAAGCCTCGGTCCTGGTCTGCTGGAGCAACATGGCCACTAATCTGTCTCACTCCAACATCACACCCACTTCACTGTTTCTGGAAATCACACATGCACAAGCGATTCACAGAGCCCCATTGTACTTTCATTTGTGACAGAACAACCAGCTAGTTTACCGAACTGGTTTGGCAGTTCATTTTTTACAACTGGGACCATTTATCACTGATGATAAATGAAGCCGTTATTTGGAGACGCTGATATAAAAACAGGTGAACAGTAACTGAAAATCCAAGTTAAACTGTGAGAGATCAGGTAAAGAATGCTGCTGCTGCATTTGTCTGTGTGCTGTATGTTTACAGGGTTTATTTTTCATACAGGTTTCTGATACCAAACGCCGCCTTCATCAAGATCATAGGCTCACAGTTGCCACAACATGAGCTGCATGTCTTTACCAAGGAGACAGACACAGAAAAAAGCTAAATTGTGAGTTTACACACTTCCATCTGTGCTTTTTTTTTTCTTAGTGAGCAGAACTCTGATGTTTGTGAGTCAGGCCCTGGGCAGGGGGCTGAGGACTGACTGGAAGACAGGGGCCCAATGAATAGATGCACAACAGTGACTTGTTGTGTTTGTTTACCCTTTCACCCAGCTGCCTGGACCGTGGAGATGGGAGAGCATTCATCATGACCTAGGCGAGATGGGAGGAATGGGTACACGCTGGAGAATGACATGACAGCACACACACTGCAGAATGCCAAGAAAGTGCCCACACGGGGCAACAATACTCAACACTGGGCTGCTGGTCACTATGTGCATTACGGAAAACATCTCAAGGTAGATTCGTATTGTAACATTTACCTCAGCAGCAAAAGTAAACCTTTACTGCAATTAATATATACTTAAACAATTATAAAAATAATTATTTCCACTCTATTCTTATGTCCAGCAACAAAGTTAAATCATTGTTGAAGTGTTAATTAGATCATGAGACCTGGGACATTTCCAGTTTTCTTTGACCTCTCCTGAGGTTTTATGTGGTTCCTTCCGTTTCGTGTTATTTCTCTGGCACCGCGACGGACAGCGTTATGATGTTCTGTGCCTGCTTCAGCGAGGGCATGTCAATCATGCTGCCGTGGAAGGTGAACGCACCCTGAACAGGTTTGTAACAGAGGTGAGAGCAGAAAGAGAACCATCAGACCAGACGCACACAGTAAATGCTCTTCAAATGTTCTCAGATTAAGGATATTGTTTACAGATACAGGAAGTAGATTCCTGTGCAAAAACCATCACATGCCACTTTGTGAGACACATCATCGTGTATTTTTTGAGTATGGGGATGCTCCATAATATTTGTGTTTGACATTTTTAATGTGTAATAAACAAACAAAGCTATTAATTATAGAAAACAGGGTACTGCAGAAAGAAAATGTTACTAAATTGTAATGTCTGAAGTAAGATACTCATTTGACACATCAGGCAAACTTATTTCATTTGGACCCCTGTGAATCTATTTGTTTAATAAAAATTAAAAAAACAACAAAAAAAAAAAAACTGCTCCACAAACCTCAAATCAAAAATGTAGTCAATTGCTGCAAGCAAGCACCTGTCATGTTATAAGACAAAGAGACTGACCCTCAATGTTCAAACCATTACACACACAGAAACACACACACAGCAGGGCAGAGGGATGGGTAGGATATGAATCCCTCGGGCGATGCTTAGTAGGAGCAGCCCTGGCAAGGAGAGAGGTGTGGGCAGATTGTGTATTACCTCAGCAGATAGCCCACAGAGCTCAACACACAGGATCCAACCATGCACTAAATTAGGAACAATAATATTGTACACTTAATTGCACCCCCCCAACTCCCCCCGTCTCCTATGTCGTCTCTGAGAGTCACCCGGGGTGTACAGTATGTATTCTCTGGAACTACAGAGGTGTGGGAGAGGATCCACAAAGGATCAGTCTCAGAACAGAGACAGACCCCTGTCATCATTTCCACACACAGCACAGATACTGTGTACAACTGGAAATATATATTTAAAAAGTTAGAGAATTAAAAAAAAAATTGGATTATCCAAAGTCTCTTCCCTCCTTTAATTTGTGAAAGGGTTAATAAAAATGTTTTGAGGAGTCAGTATATCTCCTAATTTGAAAACAAACTTCTATTTAAGAATTAAACTAACATTTAAATAATTGGAAATACCCAGTGAACAACAAAAGCATATGCTAAATGCATTTACATACAAAAAAACAACTTTAACATTACACACGCTGACAGACCCAACTACTCTTCAGAAAAAAAATTGCTTGAGCTCGTCGAGACCGAGTTTGTTGATAAATTGTCTCAGCAATGAGCAAATGGTTAGCCACTGTATTTTAGACCAAAATACTACTGTAAGAGAGACAAATTGTTAAGCTCTTATGTCAATGTGATTATGATGTTAATGTTACCTTTCCCTCTTTCTGATGTTGGTCAAAAGCAGCAATGAGCTCTCTGGCCCACTGGACTCTCTCCTGACTGGGGGAAAACTCTTCCTGCACAGCCTCAATCTGCCACGGATGGATAACCTGTTTACCTGCACCACAGAGGAAGAAAGTGGAATATGCTAGTAATAAGAGCAAGCTCAAAATAAATAAAGACTCATTTGTGCTAAGGAAATATTTTTACTTGATGGCACAGAGCTATTAATAAAACTGTTTATGCCATTTACCTTCTCAGACTTTAACAAAACCTGTTGTGAAACTGGATGGAATTTAAAAAGACAAACTAAAACAAACAAACAAAAAAGAAACTAGGCCTGAAAACTGGGAGGGACGGCTGCTGGCACTTAGCCAGTGTGAGGGGAGAATGACAACTCAAAGGAATCAGAAACAGGCAACGCAGAGGAGTAAGCTGTATGTGTGTGTGTGTGTGTTATTATGCTCAGTGCCACTGAAGTGAGTCAGAGGATCAACATGGTACCAGAAGATGATCATGAGGGATATCAAGTGTCTCTTCTCTGCTTGCAGCCCCTCTGTCATGCAAACATTGCTGAGTTAGACTGATATGGGACAGAAGTCGACCAGAACAGCACACAGATGACAAAAGAACAGCCTATGAAAGCTTGGTAGATCCTATACAGACACACACATGCAGTCACGTAAATTCTTTTAAAAAAAATGCCAAGGTGATCAAAACCAACCAAATAGCTGTAATTCATGTAATATTTATAAGATTGTTCAAATAAACAATATACCAAATTTAGATGCACATTTACTTAAAAAAAATCCAAAACTGAACTTGTAAATATAAAGAAAAGCATCATCTTTTATATGAATACATTTTATGGTTATGGTTATGACCCCCCCCGCTCCTATTCCCTCTCAGTCCAATGTGGGGGAATGCCACAGACATAATCCCATGTACATTTGCAGATAAAACTTGTAGCGATAAGTTAAGGTTATGAAACGTCTAAACGTCTAGTGGGAACGACGGCTCAGTGGCAGCCAGCAGGAACTCGGCACTTTAGGGCTTAGCTCTGTCACTGACAACAAATCCTTCAAGGTGGCTGAGTGGGCGGGCTGCACGAGCAAGAAATTTGGCCCAGGAGAGAAGAGGTGAAGCAAGGATGGGAGAGCAGGAGAGGAAAAGGGGAGGAGAGAACCCACTCCCTTCATCCAGCTCAGCTCACCCCAGTTAACCTAAGAAAAACATACACCACAGTTATACAGTCAGTTAAAGGCTTTAACGTAATTCATAATAAACAACTTTAAAGGAAGTGTGCGTACAACAGAGGTTCAAAGGCCATATTATGGCTTATGAGTCACTGTGAATGCATGATTACCAATGTGTGTTTGTGTAGCAGACAGAGTGTAATTGCACATTTTCTATTGAACAAACAGCCTGCGACTCCCCAGGGCCATGCTAGAGTTGTGTACGAGTATGTTTGTGTATGAAGTCTTGTGGATGGTTTTGCGTGTATGCCACCTCACCTGCAGTATTTAAATTACAAGAGGATTTTGGTTTTGCTACTTTTTCTATGTGACTATTGTGAATTGGTTCCAGTGCAGCAATTTGAGCAAGTGTCTGTCTCTCTCTCTGTGTGTGTGTGTGTGTGTGTGTGTGTGTGTGTGTGTGTGTGTGTGGTGCACTCATTCTGCAAAGAATGAGGCAAGAGCAGTGTGTATTCCCTTCTCTGCCACCTGTTTTACTTCTGGGCTGAAGACAGGAGCATGTTTCCACACCAAAACTGGAAGGATTAAATATACTGTAAGACAGTCTGTGTGTGTGTGTGTGTGTGTGTGTGTGTGCACGCACATCTGTGTCAGACAACAGGAGAATGACAGAGTGAAGAAACAGACAGGGTGACTCAGGTGCCCTCAGTAACAACCCATTGGTTCTCTTAAAAGCATCATTCATGCCCTCCAGCCAATCCTGGCTTGCCATGTGGTGCTGGCATCTCATTGGAAGACTGTTATTTAGCAAAGTGCTCTCAGGCCAATGATGGGCAGGGTCCTGAGGATGGAAGTGAAATGTGGCCCTGAATGCAGAGAATTTTGTGGAACTGTTTTACATTTCTGGGAGGCAAACATATTTACTAGGATGTTAAGGCTTTACAGAAACACAGTTTACAGCAGATTAAACAAGGTGCTTATAAAGATAAGGATGCTGCACTATTAAATTCCCTACAGATCTTCAGATTTGGTGTCAAGGTTTTGCAATATTTTTCCTTAATCCTGTTCTGTTTACCAGTAAAAAGTGGGCGTTTGTGTTTCACGAGTGTGCTCTGTACTCACTGATAATGGGTGCTGTATGCAGCTTAGGTAGTGCCAGGTTTAATTACTGCACAGGTAGAAGCTTTTGGCTGAACTGTATTATTGCTTATCCACACTTGGGGCAGAAATAGCTGCTAAGCTTATACTGTACAGAGTGCCCATGGCTTGTAAGCCGCTAATCCGGTGCTTTGAACGGCACTTTCCATATCAAATCTAACCATTTATTTCCTCAACCGGCTGCTTCTGTTTATTCGTTATTATACTTTTTACCATGTGTAAACCACACCTTATACCTTCTTTGGTGAATTTCTATTCATGTAGATCATCCTGATTCAAACAAGTGTAAATGGAACATTTATAATATTTGCATACATTTTATGAACCCTGTGCTAAGCATACTATGCAATCATATTTAATATCTCAGAGTAGAACTGCAAAAACTACTGTTAAAACTGTTGAGTCAAAAGGTGTAAATCATCTAAACAGAAAAAATGGCTATAGCAGAGTAATTCTGATATAAACACACAGAAATGCACATATACACACAAACACTGACCCAAGCCTGCAAAACCAGAGAACAGAGGTGGCAAAGGAGGTCATTTGGAAAATCCATTTCTGTATGAGACAGCAAGAAGCTCACCTACAACACGACTTGATGATGTGAAGTAGAGACAACATGTGACCAGGCCAGTACCTTATGGAGAATGTGCTCAGGGGTTTGAGCCAACGACAATGCTTCTGTTTTGATTTTTTTTTTTTTTTTTGTGTGGTTGTTCGTCTATGTGTTAGCCCTGCGATGGATTGGCGACCTGTCCAGGGTGTCCCCCGCCTTCGCCCGATTGCCGGCTGGGATTGGCTTCAGCCCCCCCGTGACCCCGTTCAGGGACTAAGCGGTAGAAAATGAATGAACAACAAATACATTTGCTGCATTAAAGAACGAAATTACTGAAATATCCACTTTGGAACAGGCTGTCCTGCCTTCTGTGGTCTGCTACATGCAGTCTGTGGGACACAGACACACACACACACACACACATTCTGAAAGCGTTGCCTGGCTACAGACACACACAGAGCGCCGTTAAAGTAGACACGACCACACTTTGCTAAAAACTCCCTTTAATTATACTTGCACACACACATGCACATTTGCATACGAGCAGGTACGCACCCTAGTGCACACATACGGACACAAAACGATTTATGGTGGGCGCAGCAGAAATGTCAGACAAGCATTTAAGTGCAGAGTTGTTCACAATTCGCTTCAGCACCAGCTGAAGTACTAATAAAAGACAAAGACAAGGAGCCAGTTTGAAAGGCAGATACATGACACATAAATGAAAAGCCAGGAGATGTTCTGCATCCTCCCACAGTCTTTAAGCAACAACTAACTCATTTCTGGTTCTCATTTGGAACGAGATAGAGGAGTAATGCAGAGTATCAGAGGGAAGGAAGAGCGAAAGGACTTGGTACTGAGCCATAAGCAGGGGTGAAGAATGTGTGGCACATAAAAAAAAAATGAACAAATGAGAACAATGTGAAGCAACTGTAGAAATCAGAGGTATATGTAGAACACAGATATGTTAAGATGAGGTTGGCTGTGAAGGGATATTACTTAAAGGAACAGGGGCAGATGTGAGATGTAGACAGCAGGGATTTTACCTGTAAAGCCCATTAGCGCTCCCTCTCTGGCCTGTTGCCTCAGCCCTTCCACATCTTTGTAGTCAATGTAGACCAGGTCGATAGCCTGCAGCCCAAATGCTTTGGTGGTCACAACCACCTTCTGCCTTGCGTATAGGAGCTCCCTGGCATCCTTAGTCCGCGTGGCACCTAAAGAAAGTATGAAAGTACACAAAATGTACAGAAGGCCACATTTCAGTCACAATTTCTGAAAGAGAAGCCCATAATTTAAAGAATGATAATGGGTGATAGAGGAATAAAAAATTAACAGAAGCCAGAACAGCAATTCCACTAAAACAGCATGTCAGTCTTTCTCTTCTTTGTGGGAAAGCGTTTCAGATCATACTACACAGTCAAAACTGTCATTTAAATATTTCTCCTCCTACTGGAACACTTGAAAACCTTCTGAAACTCAGCCTCCAATTTACTTGTGGTGAGTGGCCACAAGCCACATGTAATCATCCTTTACTTTCAATATCAGAGCACCTCATAAAGGACTTGATAGAGTAAATGTCTTCACCTCCTACTCATTATTTACTTTTGTACATCAGCACATCATTTTGTGCAATTTCTCACACATCTCACATAGACTAAAAATATATACACCACTTTTGCAGAGGTCCTATAATTATTTATTTAAAATAACTGACAAGGTGAGCACGCTGTGAGAGGAAAAAGACATTTTGGATTTTACAAGGCTGTTCTTCTGTGCAGCATGTCCTTGCAGGAGAACATGAGCACAAACATGGCTAACAAAGAGTGTAATACCTATGCTTGCACAAAAGTCATCAGAGCCAAACACCACACCATCATGGTGAAGACCAGCCTTGGGTGCAAGGCGACGGATCTCTTCACACACCGCCTAAAGAGAACATACATTAGTATAATACAGGCTGGCTAAAGTGACAGATGCAAAGGGGGAGAGAATGCTGAGATGCTGAGTAAAGCTAATTATACTCCAATATTCCGACAGTAGTTCAAACTGGGTTTCTGAGTTTCCTTTGAAGGCAGAAAAGCATCTCTAACAGCCAGCAAGAAACACCAAAAGCTCTCCAACAAGTATACCAATGAACATATCTGTTTCACCCTCACTTCTGTTCCAACGTTCTTACCATAAAGACATATAATAATGTGTTAGCTCACTAAATACACCACCTGCAGGCACACACACACATACATAAAGCCAAATGCTATGAGCAGCAAGAAACACCTCTCTACTCTTGGCTGGACTAAGAAATGTTCCTAAGAAGGGCTATACCACTAAATGTTTCTGTATGAATAAATCAGGCCCGAAGCAGCAACGTTTTAAAACCTGTGAAGTACCGAGACCCAGCGCTGAATGCTGGGTCAAATTTTAAGCCGTGTTTATTCTATAACCACATATGTCCTGATTTAAATGTTATTTTATTCTGTATAGATAAAGCTCTTTTAAATCTACTTTGCAATTTAAAAAAAGGTTAATTATTAATGCATGCATTTGTTAGAGGAAAACTTTTTACAGAAAATTTTGTTCATGCTTTTCAAAGAGAGGCAATGACTTTAAGCCTGGCATCATGTTGATATTTGTACTGAAAAATGTCAAAGCAGTTCTGCTGCTAAAATAAGCCTACTGGTCACAATTATTATTGAATAAGGAGATTTTTTTAAACTGGAATATGATTGTCTGTGGCAAAAAGTGTGGAACAATAAGAATGTCTCCTGCTTTTGTTGGCCTCCAGATTTCACTACTAGCTGTGCCACAGTGATTTCTTTCATGCTCGTAACCTGGGGTTCAGCCTGGGCAAAGATACAGCGTGTCCTCAAGAAAGCACACAGAGGCACCCCCCGGCATCAAAACACACACACGCACACACACACACACTCACAACCACAGAATTACAGTGGAGAACTAAAAGCTAAATCAAAAGAAGGAAGGACAGCTTGTTTCTCCCCAAACGCCCAGAACCATGCCCTTTTCCCTCTGTAGCTGAAGGTTGGGCTGTACTACAACAGGAACTGTTTTGATGCTTTCCAAAATATCATTAAGAACTTTTCCATTCTGATGATATTAAAACAGTTCTAATTAAAAGAAAATGTCAGCATGCCTGGAAAGGGATACAGAGAGACACAGACAGAGGGGAAACAAACAAAACAAAAAAAAAGCCTCAGACGGCTCATTTTGAGCCACTGTCCGAAAGCTTTGAATTCTTTTCATTTTGGACACGTGGAGTGCTTAGCTTACTGATGCAGTCTTTAATCTAAACTGAACAATGGAGACACAGCTAAATGTCTTACATAGGCAGCTTTTGGTTGGGGGTTTGTTAGTAATGTACCTTAAAATTGAGCAGGCCCATGGCGGTTTCCACGAAAGTGAGCAGGCGAATGGATTCTGTCAGTGGCCGTCCTTTCAAGTTGTGCTGAAACCTGTCAACAAACTAAACACACAGGGACAATCTCGTGCAAAACTCATTACCAATATCCACTCTTTCTGTAAAAAAAACCCTCCAAACTATCAGAATGAATTCATTTGTTCTTGACTACTCTGTGCACACTGCTTTGTTGGAGCACATGTACATCATGCAGCATTTGTGGTTATAAAAACAGGGTTTTCTGACTTCAGCCTAAATTCGTTTATGATACTGTTGTTAATATGCACAGTTCCTTCCAGAAAACATGTACTGGTGAACTGTATTTCTGTTTATTCCTGCTCTTCTGTAGAAGAGTGTGGCAACATGCAGCTGCCACCTTCCTTGGAATTTATCAATGCTTTATTAGCTATTTGAATAAAACAAACCTGTACTGAGACAATGAGACACTGGTGTCAAAGTGAATTTAAAACTGGAAGAAGAACTGCAGTAACAATGGTAAATGACATCTTTTAAAATCCACTCGGGGTAAAGCAGCCAAAAAGTCAAAAAGTCAAAGTCTTCTCCTCTACCTTCTTTCAGAGTCTCTGCACAAGTACAGCGTGTGCTCCCCTGAGAGTGTGCACACATGTAAATGTGCACATGCACGCATGAGCACATGAATACACATGGCAAACCAAAGAAGAAACATCAGAAACGAAAAGGGGAGAAGAAACAAGATTTGGGATGTCTTTGAGTGGGTTACACTCTTACATTATTCTGTTTTGCGTCTCCCCGCCATGGTAGGGAAGAGGAAGACTGAAGCAACAATCAGAGTGTGATGTGACACTTTGCTCAGGCCTTTCTTCTGCACGACTCCTGCTAATATGCAAGCTCACCTAAGTAGAGCTTTAAAACCAAGTTTAATTCTTTGAAGACCAAAGCATTCAAATTTTTTCCATCAGACCAGTTCACAGCTAGCCCAGGACTGCCAGTGGGGTAGCCCAAATTCCTAAATCTGTCATCTGGAAACACACAAAAGCCCCCTCTGTCAGATATTTCCTTTCAAAGCCATTCAAAAAAGGAGTTTAAAAAACCCCAAAACAAAACAAAAACTTGGAGTAGAAATGTATAACTCCATGTCCTTCCTTTCCTTTTTCTCAATTCCCTCTTTGACAAACCAGGAAAAAGACAGATATAAATAACCTCAGGTAGAGCGCAGCTATTTTTTTTTTCTAAATGAAGAGCAAAATAGCCCCTGTGCTCGCACTCACCACCCTTGTTCTCAAAACTGAAAGAGTGGGCCTCCATTGAAGGATTTCAAAAATATGGGCAATTTTAATCATCTCTCCATTCAATCTCAGTTGGATAAATCATATCTGAGAGATTTGCATAAATACAAACCATCAAAGACTTTTCATCTTCAAAGAGGTTTTCAAGACCCAATAGGCTTTGTACTGTAATCATCTGAGGTCACAACCCTGTGGGAGCAAGGCTGCTATGGCAACATAAAAACTAACGCTAGGGGCTTAGCATAATACCCCCACCCCACCCCATCACCATCTTCGCAAACACAGGAAGGGGTGGGGGTCTGAGAGGGAGTGTGAAAAGAGGGTGTAGATAAACCTATTTCTGTGACAGAGGAAACTAGATAGATTTGGCTCATTGAAGGGAAACCTAGCTGATATTACACACAGAGATTACCACCACGACAGTGCACCACGCAAACCCTGACAAGGCTGCAGTGAGCAGAGCGGAGCGGGCTGTTTACGTTCTGCTGAAGGAAAACAAGTGATAGCTCAATGTGGTACCACTGGCTAACCATCCTCAAAGCCTCTCTGATTACATGTTTCTGTCCTTCTTCTGTATTCTCATCTTCAGCTATTAAACACTTTAAGGGCCTGATTTACACCACCTAAGAAGTACCAACAGTCCTTGTTCGTTGTTCCACTGGCGCATACAGGAACCATTAGCTGCCAAGGGCTCTCAAAACTAGGACCCTTTAACATGTTATTCACTAATGAATAAAAAAAAAAACACACAACATGAAAGGCCAAAGAAGAAATAACACCTCTTCTTGCCATTCATAGCCATGCTACAAACAAGCCCTCTGACAGTTTCACCAATCATGAAAAGCAGAGGGAGAGATGGAGCTAGAGAAAGGACGCTATAGTGGGACAAGTTTCAATTAATTTTCTTCAAAAAGGGGCCAGATTAAATGTTTCCGGCCTGCTGAAGTGTTCATTTCACAGAGGGGAGCAGAGAAAGGGATGAGGGGAGGGGACAGGGGGAGGAGCGGGACAGGGTGTGATTCTTACGGTCCCAATGCACACCAAATAGTGTGGTGGGCAAAGAATGCACATGGCTCCGAATCTGTGTGAGAATTGTCCTCAGACAAAGGAGGGAGTTACGCCTGTTATAGCCCAATAAGGCCTGTCAGTCACACAAGGGCTGGGGGAGAGGAGGAAGGCAGAGCTAAAGATTTCCACACAAAAGGAAACAAGCAAGTCCATCTTTTAGCGACAAATCAGCCTGGAGGTTCCTGTGCTAATATCAATAAAAAGGGAGAAAAATAAACAAGTAAGGGATTTACTGCGCAGCCTTACAAGGGTGGAGAAAATCAGACATGCTTACAACACTGACACATGAATACATACACAGGCGCACAGAAAAGCATGTGCAAAGCAGACACAGTAAAACTTGGGAGACAAATATATGATTAGACGGGCATGCCTGAATGAATCGAGGTCCCATTCAGAGCTCTAGACTTGACTTTCTTTCTGCAGCACATACGCACCTGCTGAGGCAGAAACACACTACCAAACACTTTGTAAATCAAATGTGTAAACAGACTTAAAGTGCACTTACAGGTATTCCTCCAGAGAGGAATTTCACCAATATTAAAGGGCTGGTTTAAATAAACAAAAAGTGTTTCTGGCCACAACGCAATAGTGTTGGAAGGGGAAAAATACACAAGTAGGTAATTATCTGAAATTTAGGCCACTCAGTGTGTCCACTGTGATTTTGAGCATCATAATAATAATAATAATGACAATGGATGGTTTAAAAAAAAGGATTTAATGCAGAACAAATTGACTTTTTTCAGTGAGGAAAGTAGCAAAGGGAGTAATGGCTGAGCTACACACAGAATAGAATTAGTGAACACCTGTCAGCAATTATACATAGAAGAAAGAAAGGGCAGCAGGGAATAGACATGTTCTAATTAAAACCACAAATTCAAAACTTCCTGCTCTTGTCCAACACCATCTTCACACATATACACACACACGTATGTATGTATATATATATATATATATACACACATATACACATACACAATATACACACACACACACACCGCTGTGTTTTCTTCCTTGTGGGGACCAGAAGCTAGTCCCCACAAGGATGGCCGAGTCCCCACAGCGTGAGTATGTTAACAGGTTTCGGTCCTCATGATGCAAGTAATACAAATGGCTTCTACAGTCCAAAGTCAGTATTTAGCGTGACTTCCATTTCCACTTAGCACAGCTTCAATTCTTCTGGGGAGACTGTCTTGAAGTTTTGAAACCATGACAAACCATGTTTCACTGAAGGCTGTGAGCACTCCACTTTCGATTTTTTTCCCCTCACATACCGTCAACAACTGGACCCAAACATTTCAAACTTCAGTTCATCACACTGTAATCCTCTTTTCCACTGATCTTCATTCAAATCTTTGCAAGCTTTTGCATAGCTTAGCACTTTCTCACCGGTTCCCTTCTGAAAAACTGGTTTCTTGGCTGCCGTCCTTCCTGATCAAGCTTCTTCAGACTGTAAAAGAATCAACCTGGCATCCAGATGAAGCTGCCAGATGCTGAGCCAGGATTCTCTCCGGTCTTTCAAAGAAGAAACTGAGATACTTCTCATTGGATTTTGACAGTTTTCTTGGTCTTCCACTCCAGTTTTGTCCTTGACCTCTCCGGATTCTTCACATCTCTTTAGAACACAGCATCTGGAGTATCCAGTTTGTTTGCTGATTTTGTTCTGAAATTTGTAAGATACCTTGCTAAACTTGGGAATACATTTTCTCCTTTTTGATGACAAGTTCTCAGCTTTCAACCTCACACAATGTATGGATAGTTGAAATACTTTTTCAGCATAAAGAATGGAATAAAACCATGTCTACAGCTTGGCTGGGCACATTAAGTTTGATTCATTTATTTCTTAGTGACAATATGACACTGTTCAAAGAAGTGCCCAGTAAGTTCAGCAGTGGCAGAGGGCACCTTTGTGTTGTTACAGAAAGCTATCAGTCTTCTGAAGCTAATCCGAAGAAATGTCAGTTTCTTGAGCAGAAGCCAAGAAAAACACTGTGAGTGCTGCCACAGGGATTGATTCCAACTTTTAGTGGGAAATGGAAAAGTTTGTTATGATAGCTTTGAAGATTCCCGTGGTTTCCTCTTACCTCATGAGTTTATTTAAGACTGTGTCTTCTAAAAGACATCCAGAGGTGAAAGAGAGAAATGTCAAGGGTATATTTAGTCCTGCTTACTTTTTGCATGTATGGAAATTTTTTTATTATTTTTCTTTTTTTACTTAACTCTGTAAATGACAATAATGCTTCAAGATGAACCAAGATTTGTAGCTTACCCACTGCACCTCCTGTGTGTCTTCCACCTTGGGTAACATGATGGCAGGAGGGAGAACCTCAGCCTGTAAGATAACCTGCAGGTCATCCTCAATTAGCCCACTGGACACCGAATTCACTCTCACGCACTTCTCTGTCCGGCCCATATCCAGTTCTGCTAACATCCTGGGAATGTTCTCTCTGGCTTCTGTCTGCAGAACAGAACCATAAAACAGAGAAAGAAACCCTGATTCTTTAATGTGACTCATTTAACCAGATTGTACATTGGAATAACTAATAAAAAGAGACACAATCATTCAAACAGTTGGAAGCTCCTATGATTCAAAACCGCACGTTTTGAAGTAAGTGCACCGTCAGAGCTTGTGCTACTGGAGCAGTTCTAGGTACTGTTTATTCCAAGATGATAATGTGTTACATTTACTCAATGATGCAAATCACTTCCAATCACCAAAAAATAAAAAATAAAAAGAAAAAAGAAAATTGGTGAAGCATGCAATAAAAGCTTAATTTCCTTCAAGGACATGTATCTACAACAATTATATTGGCATTTAATCATGATCATAAAAATAAAACATTGCAAAAATAATACATTCACATACTCAAAAAGCACAATAAGGCAGCACACATTTAAATATAGTCCGTGTATATACAGTATGCCACAAATCAACAAAAACCAGACTGCACAGTCAACTGTTCTCTCAATGCAGTCACTGTATGGGCTGAGCAGGAAGAGAGATGAGGAGGGTGAAAAATTTATAAATAAATAAATCTAAGAGAAGCCTACAGTTTTAACTTCTATCAGTAACACAGTAGCACACGCCGTTATATTCAAACCAGCTGCTGAGCTACAGGAATAGAGAGAACGATCGATGGAACAGGAAAGAAGTCCAGTTAGTGAGAGGAGCAAGGCTCTATGGGAGAAATGTGGTCCGAGTTAAGCAGCTTGAGGAAACGGTAGTTTTGGAGTTGTCAGGTCAGATCAGAGGCTGAGCCTTTGAGTGCCTGTGTGTTTGGAAATGCTCACATGGGGATTTTTTCTGATCTTGATTTATGCTGCTAAAGATTCTCCTTAAAAGAAATATTCTCAAAATGAGACTAATTACTGTATAGGGTTAGGACTAATTACTGTATGCACTACAAAGGCTCTGGAGATGCTTATTTGCGTAATGTGGGCAATTAAAATACTACACAGATGGATGGTGGTAAATGTGGTATTATATCATGTGATGGACGTTCATGTGAGATGGAAATGTTGTAATGCAAACGCTGCCCAACAACATCTAAGTAGAATGTCTAAAGTAGGTGACCATTAGATGACTGCACACTGGAGTAATGTGAGTGTGTGCATGAAAGAGAAACTGCAGCCCGATATAACATGGAGGACCCATATATCACAATGTCTTGTAAAAACTAAAGTTGACCTATCTGTGCCGTTGAGAGATTATGGGGACCCCTCAAGGGACAACTACTGAGACAAAACAGCCCCAACTCTGATCTCCTGGAACACAGCGCTGTACTTGATATTATGAAACACTCCTCCAGTATCAATAACATATGGCATCTATGTTCATATCAAAGATTTGCTTGAATTTGATAGGGGGTCATGAAAAGGCTGGACTGCTGTATCATCTACATTTCCCTTTTGCCTCACTGAACAAGACAGAAATGATGAGTGAACTCTTAGTCAAGGTTTGCTGTAACCTCTTGCTTACTGTCACCGTCGTTAGCCAAGATAGACTTGTAACTGTATCACAGTAACTTAAAACAGATAGAGGAAATTATGCAGCCATAAATCACTATTCATAAACCTGCTACTTGGTGGATGGAATTCTCTTTGTCACGCTGCAGTCCATGACGAATAGAGAAAATTGATCTGTGAGAATTGCTGGTCTCTTCATGTGCCAGGAGTTACATTGATCCCTGGCCAAACTAAATAAATAGTGATCCAAATGATCAAAAAGCATGGTTTATAACAGATCAAAGACTGGAGAGGGCCAAGTCTATGCTCCAGCCTCAGCCCGATATACAAGCACCTTGCATGTATAAAATTCTTTTAATGTAACCAGAAACTGGTCATTGCAAAAACTGTCTCCTTTTGTGACAGCATTTCTGAAACCATGATGCCATGGAATGGCTAAGGAGATGGCCAGGTCACTGTGTACCATCTCTTCTTTTATCTCTCTTTCTCTCTAAATTGAGAGAGAGATTATTCTGCCAGACACCGTGACCCCTATGGGCTCCGCTACTCCAAGCTTGAATAAAGCCCTTTGAAAAGGAAATATTTTACATTAATGGACAGCCATCCAACAAGTTGCTTCAAAGCTCCTTCCCCAATCACTTGGTGTCCCATGGAGAGCTCACCCAACATCAGCTTCATCTCCTCTTTGATTCCCTCCATCATCCTCATCATTAGAAGCTGACACACAGGCAGGCAGGCGGGCGAGCAGTCAGCCAGGCAGCCAGGGCTGTCGAATGCATAGATGCACACGAGAAGCTTTTCAAGTGCAGAGAGGCTGACCTTCCAAGAGAGCGAGGGCAGCTCCTTAACACGCAGCCTGAGCCTCGATTCCCAGGATCCTACAGAGTGCTGTGTATATGGGACACAGCATGGCTACTGCCTTGTAGACACTACATCAGACTGGAGCATCCAAACTGAGGTGCGCACAGTCCACAGCATGACCACCTTCCTCTCCAGCATTAGATCATGGATGTCCAGCCCTACCATCATGCAGCTTGAAACAAGCAACGTCAAACATCACCTCTGGATAGACTCTGGGTGTAGACTCACGTTCCTTGTGCCTTCATTCTATTTGAATTTGATCTCACTGCAGTGGTAGCTACCGTATATACTGGATTATATATTTTAGAAAAGGCATAAGAAGGGCTACAATTTTTAGTAAAATATTTGCACATACAGTATCAATAGTCTGAGAAATGGCATAAATTCAGATCATTAACAAGTCAGTGACATCCTAAAAAAATTGTGAACAGCATTCTCAAAAACAACTTATACACAACATTGCATCTTTTATCACTGACTGAATGTATAATATATAAGCAGTTGTGAATATATATAGTGTGTGGTTTTGTGTAAAAAGAGTGAGAGATCATGCATCACAATGAATGTATTTGGTTTTCCATTTTCTTTTTTTTACCTTTTGAAATCTGGCATTTTGCACCCTGCTGTGCAACTTGCAATGCCATTTAAAATGAGCTGTAGACTATCGCAGGTGAAGGCTGTCTGCCTAAAGTGTGACTGTGTATGTATGTTCATCTGTCTTTGTGTGTGTTAGCAAGCTTCAAGTCACATTGGATGGGTTTTGACAAGTGACACGCTGCACTCCAGAAAGCTGGAATGAGATGACGGACTAATTCAGGCTATGCTGATAACTGAGATGTAGCAGAAGATTCAGGCCTTCACTCCGTCAGTTGGAGGCTCACAGTGTTATCCGTTATCCTGTCAGGGCAGACAACAAAACATAACTAGAGGCTAGACAAGGAGGAATTTGCAAATCACGAATCTGCTTGTCATAGCTAGTGAAAACTGACAGCCTTGGGTGAACAAAAAAGTAAATAATTACACAATATTTGTACACTAATTAGCCATGAAAAGATCTCATTACAGTTCTTTGGTAGCAGTTCATTACAAGGTGCATTACAAAGTTTTCAAGAAAGTACATTTCCAAGACTTGGTATCCATTTTGAAGGGAAAATTGAGAAAGTTAGGATCATTATTTACAATCTATACCACCTACCTGGTGGATAATTAAACCAACTTAATGAGAGTACTTCTCTATCATTTTACATCTCATTTGCAATTCTTAGTAAAGCTGTGTCCACCAAGTCTGCCCAATTTACTGCATCCAAACTAAACACATGGCTAACTAGGGTTAAAGGATAAGGCAGGCCATTTTCTATATTAGCAGTATTTCAAACACTGCCCAAACAGAAACTAAAACCAACAATGACTGGTTAATGATCAATGACATGTTTTTCAGTCCTGGATTAGCTCTTTTTGTCTGTGACTTAGACCTACATTCAAAAACATCAGTGAAACACACCACTACATTGGGTAATATATTTCCTCATTATGAAACACCAGACCCTGATATTTGTTAAGAATATCCAGAGATCTTGTGCATGGGCAATACAATATTTAAGAATAATTTTATCATTTCATATCTCTGTGCTGAAGCAGAACTTTGTTCCTATGTGCTGCTCAGTATAGCTACCGATGACTGGGGGCTTCTCATTATTATGCCTCAGCCCAGCCATGCTGAATCAAGCCAACAAATATCATAAGCTTAGCTACCTATTTATCTTAAAAGTTGCATAGTGCATGTACAGATAATGCTATACATTAGCTGTGGTTAAATTTAGCAAGTTCAATATATGTAACTGCTATAACTGGCACTAGAACAGCAGCAGAAATGATTTGCTAAGTACCATATTAGTGGGGAAAACTGATTTTTAATGAAAAATGTGTTTCATTTGTGTACACTGCATCAGCAAAACTCGACAAGTGTAAAACTAAAGGTTTAGCATAGCTGGACATCATATAAATAAACTTATTTTTTAAGCAATTACACAATATAATCACACACACTGCAATTTCAGTAGGATTTCAGAAACAATCAATTAACAATAATGTGTCATTATTGCCGAGCCCGACCACATGGCAGTGCCTGCTGTATCATAAAGGACCAAATTCAAAAATCTCTTTTGTATTTCATGTCATTTTTGTTATGCACAAAATAGTCAATTAAAATGTGCAAAAATGTTAATGAAGCACAGATGACAATTTCAAATGTGCACAGCAGTAATAAGAATCTGAAGAATGAAGTCTGCTGTATCTTAGAAAACTGCTGCACAGTTCCTGAGGCAGTGCAAATGAAAATGAAGCTGTTCAGTGTGGGAAAGAAATTAGTCTTGGCAGATCTTTGTGAGAATGGATTTCTTTCCCTGTTGCCTGGACCTGACTCAACCTCATGTCTTAATCATTACCTCAAGTACATAAAACATAATTTTTATGTTTTGATATGATTTACTGTATATAAACAAGATTGAACTCTTCATCTTTTTATTGTTTTAGTACCAGTAGTGATCAATTGAAAAGAGTTTCAGAGACCTATCTGGGGTCTGGTTACCTTAATCTGCAAACTAATTAGACCTAAAATTAATACTGAGCATA